GTAGGGTGACCGTTCCGTCTCCACGGCTCCCCGGCTCCGCAGGCAGAGGGAAAGCTGCTGCAGCTAGCTCAGGCCTGGTAGCAGGGCCGGCTGTGGCCGCGAGGTCAAGGCAGACGCCGTCCCCGCGAGGAGAGGGTGCCCCCTGCTGGCAGTGTCCTGAAGGGCCGGTTCACCGAGCGTCGGGTCCCCGCAGTCTGAAGTCTGCGATCAGCTCGTTCTTGCCCTCTGCAGGAATAACGGTATGGACGAGAGAGGAACTGGGCCGGCAAGGAGGCAGCGACAAGGCGGAATGACTGGCGCAAGAGAGGTGGCCCTACTTTGGGGGCCACTGGTAGGGAGAAGCACAGGGAAATCTGAGGCCATGTCGGGGTGGGGGGGGGAGCTCAGAACCAAAGCCTCTCTTAACCAGGAGATAGCAGACTCCTCCACCCCCACCCTGCTCTCCCCACACCCAGCTGGATATGGGGGTGCTTTGTCTGAAATACACCATTCCCTTGGGCTTAATGGACGACGTTAACTGTGTTTCTAAGAATATCACATGGGGGGGGGACCAGCAGATGGCATGATGGTTATGTCGCTGGGCTCCCACATAGTGGCCCAGTTTCAAGTCCCAACTGGTGGCTTAAACCTCAAGCCGGGCACCTATGCATGTGTACCTGCGGTGTGGCCATCCTTCCCCTGCCCCGGGGTGATTTCTCACTCTCTGTCTCTCTGGCGAGCACACGTGCCCTGTAACAACAATCTCTCTCAAAAAACATAAATAAGAACCTCACAATGGCAGAAAGCAACGGGAACTGCACAGGGCAAAAGGTAGAAATTAGTAGCTCTGAGCGGAGTCCCCCCCTCAGTGTTCACAGGGGAGAAGCAGAGCCTCAAGTCAGAACCGGCACCGGCCTCAGCGGGCGCCATATGTTTTCTATAAAAAGGCACAGTGTGCGCATTGTTCTGTGCTCAATAGCGCGACTGTTACAACTAATGCTTTCGGTATGAATGCAACCATTTAAAATTCCCAACCAGTTGCATTAGTGACAATGCGAATCAGAAAACAAGGCCAGAAGCAGAGCTTTCTCACTTTGGGGTCACTTGGCTTTAAATACACAGACACATGCCTTTTCATGTGCCCGACTTCCAAAAACACACTGAACATTGGCAGAACAATGTCCTTGGCCCTGGTATTTGCAGTTACAAATACTGGAGCCTTTTCACACGTGTATCTGAGCCCCTGACACTGATTCTATGTATGCAGGGCTGCTGCGCAAATCAGGATAATAAATAAATCGGGAGAGTGTGTCGATTTATACCAGGGCAGCCCCTACCTCTCCACCCCCAGCCCCTGGCCCAAGTCTTTGAAGGAGGGATGAATAAACTCAGTTTTGATATCATAACTGGAAGAGAAAGTTCTTTCCAGGACTGGGAATGAATGTTGCCAACTGTTCAAGCATAGTAGACACTTGTCAAGGGTCTTAGGCAACAAACTCCTCAGTTTGGAAAAACTCCCTAGCCCTTGAGTCTTGGAGGAAGACAGTACCCCAGTTCCCACTGCTTAAGTTAAGGGGTGGCTTAAAAACAGCTAAGGAGACCTGGACTCAGGCGATGGGACCTAGGTCTCTGTGGCAGTGATGTGGTCACTGGGAACAGTGAGGTACCAGTGGCAGTGGAGTTGAGGGCCCAGGATCCCCCTGGTCCCCTGTCTTCAGGCGTGGCTCTCCAGCCTTCCTAGCCATTGCCAGACCTGACTGACGCTCTGCCAAGAACCTCTTCAGCTCTAGTAACCAGGGCTGGTGCCTGATGTGGGTAAATAAGGCCCCTGTCCCTGCTGCACTGCAGGTCACACACACACATATCTTTGGACAATCTTTTATTGAAAAAGTTGGGGCAGGTACTTTGCACCTTAAGTCGAAGTGCTCCCCTGACCTGTCTACTCTCCCTCCAGGCAACCCGGACAGAGCCCCCCTCATCACAATAAGGGGAAATACGCAAATTTCAAAATCTGTTAGTTAATTACCAAGTAACCCACTAGACTTGGGTAAGGCCACATGAGTATATGCGGAGGCCCCAGCCAGGGTCCCTACTCCGTCAAGAGAAAAGCACCAGATAAACCAACCTCATCCCAGTTGTATGGGCCAGGGGCAGGGGCCACCTCCTGAAACTACCTAAGGGGAGAAGGAAGGGGTGGTTTATCCTGAGGACAGGTCCCTGGGTACCGGGGCGCTTCTGGGAGACAGGGGACGATGGCTAAGATGGCTCCTAACAGCGTCCAGTTGGTTCTGAAGCAGCCGGACCCACTCGTCCAGGCTTCGCTGCTGGGCCAGGACCGCGGCCTTGCCCGCCAGCAGCGCACGGTAGGAGCGCAGCTCCGCAGCGGGCAGCGCCCGAACAAGCACTTCGCGCAGGGCCCGTTCGCGCCGGGCCACGTGCTCCTTCAGCTCCTTGGCGTCCTCCTGCTGTCGCTGCAGGAGCCCGAGTCGCTGCTTCAGCGATGCCTGGAGTGTGGGGAGAAGGGGCTGTGAGCAGGGCCAGGACGCCACTGCTCCCGGGGCGATTGCAGCGGGAGACGGCCGACCCCTCACTGCCCTGCACGCCCCTGGCCCGAACACCTTTTACCCGTTCGTCAGCGTCGCCGTCTGAGCTCGCCCGAGCCAGCGCGCGGCGCACGCGGGCCAGGCGACTGCCCAGCAGCAGCAGGAGGCCAAGCACGCGCTCCAGATCTGCCATGAATCGGCTAAACCGCTCCAGCTCCCGGGGTGCGCAGGCCTGGCCCACAGCGGCCTCCAGAGCCGCGCCGCGCCGCGCCCACGCTTGGGCCACTCCCCGCAGCCGCTCCTGCTCCGCGTGCAGGTCCTGCAGCATCTTTTGCAGAAGCTCGGCTAGCTCCACCTGCAGGGAGAGCTCGGTACTGAAGGCTGGGCCCGGCCTCTGGCTTCTCTGCCTGGGCTCTGGGCTCTGGGCTCTGGGCTCTTGGCCCTGCCAGCCTCACCAGCCCCTCCACACTCACTTTTTTGGCCTGGGTGCTGTTGTTTGGTGCAGAGAACACCTGACCATGTGGCTGGTCAGGCTGAGTGGCAGGGTAAACAGGCCTTGTCTCCTGAGAAGCTGGCAGGAGCTGGGTTGAGCTGAAATGATAGGGCCCAGGGACAAAACCACATCTCTCTGGCTTGTCCTACCTGGGACAGCAGGAGCTCTGAATCGCAAGTCCCTGGTGCCCCTCACTCACCTTGGCTCAGAAGTACCAGCAGCCTCCTCTCCAGCCTCCCCACAGGCTGGTCTCATGGCAGCCCAGACCTCAGCTAAAGGAATCAGGCCATCCAGCAGGCCCAGGGATGGCTCTGGACTGGGGTGGGAGGCAAGAGTGTCACTCAAAGAAGGATCCAGTCTGGCCAGCTCCTGAACCAGCTCCTCAAGGCGCTGGCTGGGCCATGTGGACCCCGAAACCAGCTGGCCAGAGCACCAGGACAGGGCAGTGTGATGAGGGGGGTTTGGGACATCACTGTCTGAAGGTCCCAGGGCGTCATCTGGGAGAGGATTGAGGGGGTTGCGCTCTGCAGCTGTGGGAGAGTCCGTGGCCAGCAGTCCAGTGGGGTCAATAGTTGGGACGTCACCATTTGCAATCCCAGTGGGGCTACAGTTTGTGGGCCTGGAGCCACCCACAGAACTGTTCACTCCCTGCCAGCAGTCACCTGCCCCTGCAGTCCTTGGGCACTCATGGGGAAGGTACTCTGGGGAGATTTCAGCCTGGCCAGCCCTTTGGCCCACACCAGTTCCATACTGCTGGTCAGTGGCATGGCCCCTAGAAACAGAAGAGACACAGTCAGAACAAGCTCCATCCACGACCAGACCACCAAGGGCTGCTGACCTCCACATACCCAACTGGGTAGGCCACAGGCTCCCAGGTTCTCTGCCCCCAAACATTCTTGAGATGTGTGTGGAGGGGGGCACGTCTCATTCTGTTTGGAAGCAAAACATAATGTACCTGGATGGGAGCCCCTGGGAGGCAAGGGAGTCTAGAGGTGGTCTCTTCCGGACCAGCAGGTCTTCTTCCAGGAACACTTCATCATCAGGAAGGGAGGGGAGCCGGCCAGATGCAATGCAGGTATCCGAGACTCTCTGTCCCCAGTTGGCAGGGCCGCTCTGGAAGACCTCTGCAGGACACACTGTTGCAGCCTCCATCCGAGTCAAGAACCTGAAGGCAGTGACCCTCCACTGACCACAGTGACCAGAAAAGAAGCTCCCAGTGCCCCGGAGACAGTGGGTGGGCGGGTTACAACAGACAATCAGAAGGTTGGCTGAGGTTGCAAGGTCGCTTTATCCGTTCTTGGGCGAGAGCTATGAAAGCTGCCTCCCCCATCTTGGTCCCCAGAGTGGCCCATGTCTCTCACCTGGAAAGTTTGGTCTGAAACAGTGGTCTGGGAGTTTCTGCTCCGTGAGGAACAGCCTGGAAGGTAAACAGTTAACAAATGTGGCTCAAGATTTCAGTCTTCCAGATGTGCATCTCTGCACCCCCTCCCCAGCCCGCATCCCTTATCTTCCATACCTGCGCAGTGGGCATGGGGCCTCCGGTATCTCCCAAGGCCTCTCCAGAAGCACTCCGACCCCGACTCTCAGGCCTGTGGGCATCACTGAGTTTCGAGGACCCGGAGCTCAGGTCCACTGTGCCTTGGGGCTGGGGCTGGGGCAGCCATCTGACCTGGTGACCTTCGAACTTAGCCAGAGCCGGATGCTGCAACTCCGGCGGTTCAGGCCTGGCCAGGCCAGAGCTCGAGCAGGCCTCGCCCGAGCATTCCTCTATCTGCCCACTGCCCCGACCCACGCGATCCAGCTCCCCCGGCTCAGAGAAACACCACTTCCGCTGCTGCTTGGCGAGACTGCCAGGACCGGCGGTTCCTGGCACCGGGGC